CCGCAAGAAGTAAGTATGCCGATCGCCACAATGTAGTTTTACACACGGGAGGCGGCGCTGGATGAACGGCGGCGGTTACCGGATATCGCATTTGCCTGTCGGGTCGAAGGGCGGCGGGCTGGCGCGAAATTAACCGCGCAGGAAATCGATCCCGCGAGAAAAATACCGCCGCGGCGGAATTCGCTTGTATCGGTTTATTGTGGATATCTGTCGAGGGGGGGGGAGGGGGGAGGGGGGAAGGGGGAGGAAGGAGGGAAAAAAAAGGAGGCGGGGAAAGGAGTATATAGGAGCGCTTAAGAGAGACGCTTCTCGCCTTCGCTCGTAAAAATTTATTGATCCGCGGGAAATCGTCCCGCCGTGGACGATGGTCATTAACGAGTCGTTAAATTCTTTTTTTACTTAGATTAGAGATTTGCCGCGAGAGATGGCCGCGGAGAAATCCGTCGCGTCGCCGCGGGAATGTGAAACGATGTGCTAAGTATACCCCGGCGGGGAGGGAAGAAGAGTGAGCTGATGAGAAACTCTTTGTCCAGCATCAGGATCATTATCTTTTTTTTATACGTCTCGGAAACGTTCATAAAATCGATTCGGGCGATGACAGACGCGAGAGTAAACTTTCCGATTTAATTTAATTCAATTAAGTTTAGAAATTAAATTACATTCCCGAACTTTTATTGACCCCGGGATCGCACGGGGGTCTCACGGGAACCTCACGGGAAAGTCACCAATATGGGCATAAATTTTGTACGCACTTTAATCGGAACGAGATCCGATGATCCCGCACCGGGGGATTACCACTACCGGATCGTCGGCGGCCGAGCCTCGTCGGAACGGAGCGTAAAGTTAATCGAATAATCCGCAATAAGACACGGCACGGTTTGCGCTCGCTCGAATATCACCGCTCCTCCCTTATGAGTCTTACTTAACGCCGAGCGGCATTTTCCGCCGGCGGTTTTTGCGCGGCCGCTGTCACATCCATTGAGCGAAATCCTCACCTCGCCTCGCGTGTGTGACAGTTTTTGCGGTCGGGACTCCGCTTCTCGTCGAAATCGCATCTCCGGCATCGGGAAAAACCTTAAGGTCTATTTAAGGGAGGTCCGTTTGGGGGAGGGGGGGGGGAGAACCCGATCGGAATGAGTCTCGCGGAGGAGGCGTGTCGCGCACGTACGAATAAATCGTCGTGTTACATCCCTCACGAATGGACCAAATTGCACGTGAGCAACAATCCGACGAGAACATCTCGGTTTTTCAGCCGCGTGCTGTGGACGCCTCTATTACGGACAAAGGTTCAAGTCGAATCGCGGTAATCCGACGCCCGACGTGACTGCGAGTCGATTATGTTAACGTCGTGGTCTACTTTGAGCGGTCACGTGATCGTACGGGCACGTGGAAAATGGGTAGGCGGGATACTTTGTTGTTTTAGGGAAGCTCCGTGAGAATAGGAACGTTACGGCGGCGAGTAAGAAACCGTACCGTAATGGATGAAACGCGATTACAGTTACGCGACAACGCCGAGGAAGGAATCAGCAAACGGCGCATTTGCTGTATAAACAAGAATATTTGTGCTGTATATTATCGGTCACGTTTATTAATTTTCTTTATTCGCTGCGACACGCGAAGGAGCGTTTTTGAAATCACCCATGAAGAGTACCGGTGACTCGTAAGTGCGAGCGTAATGCTTGGTTTCTTGTAAACAGAATTTACTGTTTTTCACAGTTAATCTTGTTTAAATCACAGTAGATAATCCCGGAATAATTCGGGAAGATAGGATTTTCCAGGAAATGAAGAGAAATGAAATAAACGAATGCACGTCGCCTCATGTATTATACATCGCTTAATTAACATGTTAATTCGGAGATAGACGTATTCTAAGCGTAAAAGATGAATATGAGACGCTGTTGAAATGGGTGACTTGCTTATGTGTAAGTAGGAGTTGATAACTTAACGGACATGCACACAAAGAGAAACGGGGTTTCTCGATTTGGGTGGTCCGACTTTTCAAACTCTATCTCTATTTGTTGATATCTCTAAGAAAGGTACAACTAGCCGGCGATATCGGAACGGTGAATCAAGCGGAAGCCTCCACGAAATAGCTTGGGTCCATATCTGAACACGATCGACGAGAGTTAATCTATCTCTCACCGTTTCTGATCTGGCACTGGTTTAAAAAAAAAATAGTATTCTGAAGTCCTTGCATTTTTGAAGCTAAGCTCCATTCTCCTTTCTTCATTCTGGAGGCTGAGTGAAACGGATTTTGCGTATATATGCATATCTGAGGATTCTTCGAGAATAAGCCGCGTTCATAAACGTGAAATCCGCTTTAAACGCGAAGTCATATCCAAAGTGGATCTTCTGCGTTTACTCCGATTTCTTGCTGTGCTCGCGACCTGTATCTCCCTCTCTTTATTCAAGCAGTGAAAACTGAAACCAAGAATCTGATTATCAGTTCCTCTTTAGTACAAAGTACCTGCAAAGCAATTAGTCTTCTATCTTCTCTCACGAAACGAGTCTTCTCATCCGTGGTAGTTTAAGGATCGTAATGCGGCCTGTCCCGTCAGCCATTCAGAGACATTCCATCTCCTCTTTATCTTCGTTTTTTTTAGCGGTCGGCCGGTATTTAATTGTGGCGAAAGAAACGAGCGAGAGACATCACGGCTTCGCATGCGGCGTAGAGAAACGTGTGGCTTTTAGGACGACGTCATTGCAGAAGTCGCCGCTCGCGCGAGGGAACAGAACGAAGCGGAATGGAGTGGAGCAGAGCAGAGCAGAGCTGAGCTGAGCTGAGCTGAGCTGAGCAAAGCAGAGCAAAGCGGAGAGTCCTCGGGGGCCCGAGGTCCGTACGCATACGCGGAACCCGGGCCCCGCGTATTCCGACGGTGAGGCCCACGGCGGCGAGAGGCGTCGGGCCCCAACACGCCACACGTATTAGAAACGAATATAAATATATCGAGAGGAGCGAAAGATAGAGAAAGAGAGAAGCGGACTCTTCGCGATGAGCGAGGAGGGGAGTTTGCGCGCGTATTGGTAATGCCGGAGAGTTACACGCACCGACGCGACTCTCGCACGCTCGCTCGCTCGTTCGTTCGCTCGCTCGCTCGCTCGCTCGCTCCTCCTTCCTCGCACGGCCGGCACTCGCGCTTGCGGGCCCCAGCGTGTCCCCCTCTCGTCCCGTTTCCCGCAGACACGGGGGCCCGCTGAGTCCCAGAGTATGCTCAGTGTCCGCTCGGCCTCAGCACGCCCCGTGCCGGTAGAACGAAGGACGAGGACGACGCCTCTCGAAGGTTTAATGCGCGTCGCGTCGCGCCGCGCCACGCCGCGCCACGCCGCGCCGCGCCGCGCCGCGCGTTAATCGCGTTCCCTTGTGCTTTCCGCGATCGCGTCGCACAAGTTTCCGCGATTGAAGTCGGACACGGGGAGACATCCGCCGCGACGTCGGTCCGCGGGGTTCCACGCTTTGAGCAGTGCGTCGAAAGACGGAGTGCTGTCGTTCTGCGACAGTTTCGCGAACGATCGTTGATCATTCCGTGCGATACTACGACTATCCGCGCACGCAAGTTTTTTTCGCGCATCTGTGGATCAGGATTCTGAGACTTTGGAACGAGTTCGAGATCGCGTATCTCGATCGATTGACCGACCGACCGCCTTTGTACCGCGCGATAGGTGTCGCGTATTAAAACGTTAATCCGTGCTGTACTACCGGTTATACGTACAGATTGATCCTCATCCCTCCGACCTGCCCACCCTCTCTCCTCCCGACTCTCTCTCTCTCTCTCTCTCTCTCTCTCTCTCTCTCTCTCTCTCTCTCTCTCTCTCTCTCTCTCTCTCTCTCTCTCTCTCTCTGTTTCTCTCTTTCTCCTTCTTTCTCTGCCTTTATCTTTTTACGATCCCTCCCTCTCGCGCTCCTCGCCTCCTACGGCGACCGCTTTCGCCGGAGCGCACTCGATCCTCTTCCTTTCCTTGTTCTCTCCCCGATCATCCCGTTCATTCCTCCGCGTTCCCTCTTCCTCCCGCGCTGCCGCCGTCTCTCCGTCGCCCTTATTGCCCAGGACCCGAGGTCGCGGTTTCGCTCGCGTTTCGCGAGCGCGCGTGCCAATCGAGAGATGGTGAACGGACGGCGCGATGAGCCCGAGCCCGCCGGTGGCGAGACGTTCGCGAGACGACGACGACGACGACGATACGGTGCCACGGCACCGCGCAATTGAGCCCTCCGCTCTTCTATCGAGCTCTCCGTTCTCTTTCGACCACGCTCTTTCGTCCGGCGTGAGGCGACTGGATCGCTCGCGTGACGCTTCTATTCCGCGAGCGGTCGTTTCTATTCCAGCGGGATATCTCGGCACCGCCAGACATCTTTGCTCGTTCCGGGCGGAACGGGCGGGCGGCTCCATCTCGCGAATTTTCTCATTTCCTCGCCACGTCTATCCCGCGAGGAGAATGACGCCCGCGAACGCGTCGGGTGTCGTCGACGTCTCGAGATAATGGAGAGAACTGCGACGGAAGTTTCGTCGGCGAACGAAACAGATCGGGGAGTCGCGATTGTTCCTGTGAGCGACTAAAGAGAGAATGCGTTCGAGGGAAGCGAGGAGGAAACCGGCGAGGAAAGTTAAAGTGACGGATAGTCGACGCCTTGGTGACCGATCAGTGCTTGTCGATCAGTTGAATTAACGTTCGGGGAAGAGGATATTAATAAGAGATAAACTGGCGGTGGTATATCCTCCTTGCCACCTCTGAGAACACTTCGGAGATAGTGAGTAACATCGCAAAAACATCGCTCGCGAATGATAAACGTATTTTCGAGATACCTTCCAGGAAAGCCGGAAAGTCTGGCTCCAGACGCAATCAAGAGCGTATACCACGAAAGGCATTTAATACGCTTATACCCCGCAGAAGGGTTTCTAACCGGGGGGAGCAAAAACCTCGGTGTGTCTCGAGTGCCCCGAAGCGTCGCCTTATTGGCTTTTGCGAGAGAGGACGAGAGCGGCGGTGGTCGCGAAAAGGGACATAATATACCAAGGGGCGGGAGGGAAGAAAGGAAAGGACCCCGCCGGCGTTCCCTAGATTAGAAGGTCTCGGCCACGGCGATTATTACCATCGGGGCCGGGGGTTACGCTGTGCGGCACACAGAGGAAGAGGAGGCCGCCGGTGGAAATCGATCTTAACGACCACCGTCCTCGTCGGTCGTCGGTCCGGATGTGGTTGCTGGATTCGCTCGCCCGTTCGCGTTCGCCGTTCCTCGTCGCGCAAGAAGAAGCATGTCGAGCTTGGCGCGGAGAAGACGCACGGCGGTGCTCGGCTCGAAGCGATGGTGGCAAGGCGGATGCTGGGCTACCAGGGGCCACCAGGAGGCGTACCTGCGCAAGCTCTACGGCAGGAAGAATAACCAGGATGCCAGGAGCAGCGGCCAGAACGACGAGGACACCGCGTCGCGTTCCGGCGGCATCGACGCGCCCTGGGCGACGCCCAGCGTTTACGATCTGCCGGCCACCACCGACGCCGAGCATCACTATCTCGACGCGTTTCTGAGAAATCGCGAGAATGGCGAGAACGACGACGTCAACGAGGACGTCGACGACGAATTCGCCGTGGTGGTCGGCTGTCCGGCTTTGGCGTCGCGCGCGAGCCCGACGGAGAAGTGCGTGGAGTTCCTGAAGGGTGCCCATCACGATGACGAGACCAGTTTCGGTCGCCGTGCCACGGGGGACGCGGAATGCGGCCGCGTAGCCGATTGCGGTTCGGTGCATTCGGGTTACGATGCGGCCGCCGGTTGTTCGGAGTAAGTTGCCGTTGTAACAGAGGATTGCTCTTTTCAACGTTTCTCTCACCACTCAGACGTAGAATTTATTTTACGACTTAAAACACGTTACGAAAATATGCCGTGTGCTGTGTGACAATATGGAACGTTTATTCTGAAATCTAAGTGAAGAAAGTCTGTGCTTGTTGAGAGTGGGAAGGCGGGGGAGGGGAGGGGATATGTGAAATATTCTTGTCACTTAATATCGTTGATCAATCTTTTTTAAATTATATTAATGAAAGTTTACATTAGGAACGTTTGGATAACTAAATTTTTCTTTAGTTTTAAATATATTTTTTAATTGATCTTAATATATTAAATTATCACAACCTGAATTGAGTCAGCATAGAATCATATTATGAAAAATAGAAAATGCAGTTATTCTGAATTTGAGTGGATATTACGTGATATTATGTGATGTATTGATGGCAATTAAATTCGATTAATTAAATCGGGGATTCATCGATGCAAGGAATGCATCAAGAAATAAATAAAATGTCACGTGGCTGGATTTTTATCCATTTATTTTTTCTGCCTTATCTACTTTCACGTAGAGCTCATCTGGAGCGCAATTTCCCGTTGAATAGCTCGAGTGTCTTCGACACTGAAAAAAACAGTGCATCTTTGCACACAGCCTACAGCGGAGCCTGTATTAATCATGAATCGTTTCTCGGTTGTAGAAGTCGTTCTCGCATGAATGTTTCGATAGCTTAGCGCTCGCTGATCCAGAACATGTAGAGCAACACGTGCGATTTCCTTGCACACGCTTGTGAAACGGAGAATTTTATATCGGAACGTATCGATTTATTCAAGCGAGTAACCAGGCGCTCTGCAGTTGGGCGATAATGATTCATCGCTCGTTCTATTTTGTACATCGCGTTCCGTTTCTCTCAAGTGTTCAAGTGTTCAAGTGTTCCTCTTACGTCTTAACGCGCGCAACGGTATTTATGACTCGAGCTCGAATTTCCAGATATTGTTGGATATATTTTGGGTCCGTAGTTCTACATTCCGGAATTCTAGGCTACCCTAAGCCAGGTAGATCTTACAGAATTTAGGTCTGTAATTGGATACCAGACTTTAATAATAGGAAGATCCTAAATTGTAGGTCTGTAATTTAATTCAAGGAAACGTGGAAGCACAATTGCGCGGCTCCTCAAGGATTACTCCCGTGAGAATCCTCTTGCACCTAGATCTTGAGATCTTGATAAACGCGCCATACATCGCAGGTTTATTGTATCTGATATACATTTTTTACACTCCTATTTCGCGTTAGGCAATTTGGCATTACAGTGAATTATCCGATTAACTTAACACGTAATTACAACAGATAACGCAAATTAATCATCGTTTTTAGTACAATTTTCTATAAAAAAAAAATTTTTTTAATCTTTATCATAAGTGTGATGTGGGAACACTCAATTTGGAAAAATGTTAAGATAACAATCCTCTTTCTCGTTCTTATAAATAGTTTTTTTTTTTTTACTAGAAAAGTGTGCAGGAGCTGCAGGTGCCCGCGGGAGGAGCACCAGCGAGCTTCGACGGAGACGGGCGGTCCTTCGGGACTCGGCCTGGGCCCGGGCCCGCCGATGGCGATGGCCATGGCGTTCCCAAGCGGCGCCGGGGGCGCGCCTCACCAGGAGCCGTTCAAGAGCCCGGTGCAAGCCGCGCCGGCCGGCCTGGCGCTGCAGGAGGCTCTGATGCAGCATCACCAAAGGCACTCGCAGAGCGACGACGACAGCGGCTGCGCGCTCGAGGAGTACACGTGGGTGCCACCCGGTCTGAGGCCCGATCAGGTACAGATATTTATCTTACGTCGAGATAATAAAACTCCTTGGATATTAGAGAGTTGTCTGACGATAAACTCTCAACGATAAACACCGACCGAACGCGAATGCGTGCGACGTTTCAAAAAATGCGAGAGAAAGTCGCAAGAATTGAAAGATAACGTGGCTGAGTAAACTGGGTAAATAGGGTGCGAAAATTTTTACGAGGTTTTATGTTAATCGAGTAACGCGCCGTTGAGACGCCGGGAGGGGGGGGGGCGGGAGAAAAAGAGATGGAGACGGTGGCCTCTCAACCGTTCGTGTACGCGTGCAATGCGAGGGTGTCCCCGGCGATTCGTCTCGCCGGGGACCAGTGACCGCGACAGCGGTCCCTCAGATCACCGGGACGATTACCATCGTGAAACGACGACGGCACAGTGAGTCATCAGGCCGCGCGCCGGTGAAAGCTCTCGCTGGGTATAACGATGATAAAGCGTAATCGAGGGGTTCACCCGAAAAAGGGCATGAAAGAAGAGAATGTAGAAGATATAAAACGTATTAACTGTACGGTTGTATCCTCCGATCGTCCCTTTCCAAAGAGATTCCATTCTTCAAAAAAAAAAACGCGCGTCTTTAAATCAGACCGTCGGATATATGTAATCTATCACGCATTAAAAAAAGGTTCTTTTTTTATTTTTACTTCTTTCATTTTTCTTTTACGAATTATTAATCATCGACACATCGACGTCGTTCTTTTCTTTCTCATTCCTTTTTAATAAACGGAGAGAACAGTTTTACTGACGAATCTAAAAATTCGAGACCAGATACAGATCTGAAAATAATTTTTTTGGACCATTAGAATTATTATGTAGAACATTTCAACATGATATACTTGAAAAATATTTGATCTTCTGATTTGGCGACCAAACCAAACCCAATTGTCCAATGACAATTTTGAACGCTCAACAAAATTATTTTCAGCATCTGGCATTTGGCTGAATTTTATTAGATTTATTAGCAAAAATGCTTTATATCCTATATATCTACAATTATACAAGTATCCTCTCGTACACTAGCGCATATTTTGCATTGCGCAACGTCAAGAACGAAATCGTTTTATTTAATTAAACATACGGTGGCGGATACAATCGGATAAAGGAGGCTCGCCACGTTAGCCTCCTCCGCGCCGAAAGGGTCAGTGCTAGCCGCACTCGTCGTTCATTAATTGGTTTGAGAGCGAGCGTTTTGCGTCGGCACGGCGCGGAATAGAGATCTCTTTCTCCCTCTCGGCGATGCGTGCTGGCTTTTGCACGCCGCGCGCGAACATCGTCGTTTATTTCGCGACTCCGCGCGGCGCGGTGCGTGCAAATTCGCTTCTTCTTCTTCTTCTTCTTCTTCATCTTCATCTTCATCCTCCTCTCCTGTTTCCTTCCTCTCCTCCATCTCCTTCTCCTTCCTCCCGCTTTTATTTCCCGCTTTCGCGCCCCGTCCCAGCGGCGTCCGTCCGCGCGTTTTCTTTACTCATTTTAAGTGTCATTACGTCTAACGCGCATTATATATTATGACTCGGCGTTCTCGGCAAGGGGACGGTAATCCCGCGCAACAAGCTTTTCGCGCTCTTAAGCCCACCCCCTCATCCCCTCATACGACGGTGGCGTCAATTCGCGTTTTCGTGCGAAGATCTCGAGTCTGCCTGAAAGCACAACAATTCGCACAGCAATTCGCCAAGATTTTGCGCCCTTAACGAGCGACAGCTCTTGAAAAGCTTTCAATACGTGCAATCTTTATGCCGATACCTTCTTATTAGAATCAACGTCGATAGTACCGTCGAGATTCACATTTCGTTTTCTAAAATCGAATTTTATGCTTAATTTTAATTTCAATATAATTTCTAAAATATTTTCTTGAAAATATGACACACTAATACGTTAATAATAATAATAATAATTTAGAGGAAAAATAAATACATAATTTCTTTTTACTTTTGTTAACTTATAGCTTGAAAATTAGCGGCTATCTCTCGATAGCCGAGTTTCCGATAACAGGAAAAGCACGTTTGTTATATTATTTTTTTATTAATTGATAGATAATTTTAATATTTTATACCGGAGAAACGAGATATCTCTCGGACGACACACGGACTTGGCAGAAACAAAAGGAGGTGTAAGACTCGCTAAGACACGTCAAGTGTTTAATGGCATGCGCGGGACCGGCGATGCGATTGCTACTCATAAACCGACGCAAGTCGTAACGCGGAGAAATTTACCGCTAGATTGTGCAGGAACTCGATTACGCGCAAATTCCAATGGCTATCGGGCCACGGTATGGGCGCGAGGTTTCGCTTTCCGCGGCGATATTCTCTCTGGAAATATACCCACGTTGACACGAAGCCCTTCGCGCAACGAGTTCCCCCCCCGTCGTAAGAATATACGCTCGAAATAAAACTGCGCGTGCATTTTTATCCCCGGCGTGCCTTCCCTACTCCCTTTATCGTCGGTCCCGCCGTGGCACAGGTTTCCGTCCCGGTAGTATAAACGCACACGTCAGTGTTTTCCTTCGAGACTCGTCTCTTCGGTATGTTGACAGTGCCTATCCCGATACTTATCTAAATTTGCGACGGTCAGGGCGAGTCTCAACGACCATCGGTTAACGTCAGCTGCGGTTGACACTAAAATTCTTTCCCCCCCCCCCCCGGTCTAT